TGAGTCAGAATTCATGCACTAGCCAGGAGTATGACACTTCAGCTAGATGACATGATGAGGTTGATGAGGAGATTCTGCATGGTTGGCATGCATATGTCTTCTTGTGTTTGTTACGTGGAGACTTTAGTTGGGAGTGTCACTTGACATCTTACTCTAGTTTAAGAGTGAATGATTAATCTTTAGATCTTGAGGTTAAAGATGGTGGTATGAATCAGCGTGATATTCACGATGATGCATAAGTATTGGAGTTCTTACGGACCAGTTTGATGCTATACACCGTGAGTGGCAAAGAGTGAAATTGTAATCTCAAGTAGCGAGATATCGATTGGAGGGAACACATGTTTTATGAGTGTGGGAGGACAATAAGGTATGAGTACTACCGCATCTAACTTGGATAACGCGCATTGTGCAACATGATCATGAGGAGTTGGGACATTTTGGAGTGAATCGTACATACAACTTACTCCTTGGTCATTATTGGTGGTGTGGTATTCATACTCAGGTACAGCTGTTGATATCACGGTGCATAATTTGTGATCAGGTGAGTGCATTGTTCAATGTCTTAACATTAGAGTTACACTCTTTGCATATCATGAAGTTGAATTACTGTTGGAGTTTAGACTTTGCTAGATCATAACCTTTGACTATACAAAATCATTGGTATGTGTTGGTGATGATGGAACATTTTTCCAAGTGGATTGAGTTGATGGCATTACTTGACAAGGCGAGTGAGGGAGCAGCGTATGCTTTCTTTGACTGAATGCTTAGTCACTTTGGTGCACCAGCTGAGGTGTTGACCAATCACAATACAGAGTTTCAAGTTTGGTGTGACAAGGCGTTGATTGATCATTGGACCACGTTTTTAAATCATCTAAAGACGAATGATTTGGCTAAACGTGATGTATAGACGATGAAGAGGGCGTTGCGCAAGTATGACATATAGAAGGAGCATGTTGGGGACTGGAATATTCAGCTACCATGGTTGGTCATGGATTATCAATTCAGTTGTCAAGCATCCTTGCCTTCCTTTTCACCATATTTTTGGTTGCCGACGAACTTGCCGACAAACTTGCCGACAATGATTTGTTGTTAGTTTAGTGAGGTGGTGAACCTTGATGATCCGAACATGTGGATGAGAGTGTATTCTAAACGTGCACAGCTCTTGGAGATCCATGTTTGTTGCAATTGAAAACCTTGCAATTGCTCAGCATAAATATTGCCTAGCAATATACAATCATACGGGGATGAGGTTATCTATCATCTATTCATGGTAGATAATCTAGCTTTCATGTGGATTACTACATCAATTTACAGCAAACTACAACGACTAGATTGGATGTGATGGCAGTACGCACTATATTGCAAATGCAGGAGATGTTATCTTCTGGAGTTCTCATGTTGTAGGGTCGTGACGATGTTGTTTGGAATGATCATGTACTCAACTATGCGCCATGTCACCTTCCAAACGTGGATTGTACTATGGATCCAAGCTTGGCAATAATATGTGCTGACTTGAGGTGCATGTTATTTGGGCAGCGAGTCAGACGGCCTGTATGTTGGTGTGTGATAGATATTTTGGGGGATGACACTTGTCATGTCTGACTCCACCTATTGATGTTGACTACAAACTTGTTTGACAACAAGTTTGTAGTCAATGTACTTCGGAGGTATAGATGACTTGATCATCACATGTTATAGATTGCAGATAGACGATAAATGATAGGGCTACATAACACCTGACTTACTCGTTCGCGCATCCATGAAGTTGTATAACATGTAATTGTAGATAAGGCTACATGAGAGTCATAAGGACCTGACCGCCAGCTAGAAAGACGAGTCGTGATACATTTGTGTGTGTACATTTTTCATTTTCATGTGTGTATGAGTCAATATGGCATGCAAACGATGTGGATTGTATGACGATACATATTCGCACGATAGTTTTCATGTACACATGTATTGTCTATATTTAGTTGGCTTGATTAAGTTGTGAATGTTCGTGGGTGAAGATTAGTGAGTTCTTCACGTGTTAATTCAGTTGTGATATCTTTCTATGTGTGTACGTTTTCATCTTTTATGTGTGTGTGTGAGTATTACATGCTAGAGATGTAGATCGTATGACGATACATATTTGCTCGACAACCTAAAAAACATCAGCATCAACCTGAAGATGCATGGGATAGTCTATCTATCAATTTTTTTTTCATTTTTTTCACAAATCATGATTTGTCAATATTCACTCTTTTAGTATGTCATTTAGTTTGTAAAAAATAGAAGTAAATCATATATTGTCTTGAATTATGGAGAAAGAATCTGAAAGCATACTGTTATTGTGTTTGATGAACATCGGGAAAATAAATATCACTTAAGCGATAGAGATCAAGTAATCACAAGGAAATTTTCACATCTTTTTCACTAGATTTGATATTGCTCTAGCTATATGCAAAGTTAGAAAATGCATATCAATTTTAATAAAAATAAATTGAAAGTTAAACAATTGAATTTTGTATAAATTGTATATCTTAAAAATTATAATATTTTTTTGATGTTATATTAGGTCATTTCAAATTCTTGTTAAGATATGTTAAAGTTAACTATGTGCAATACATATACAAAAGCAAATTTATGATTACACTTGAAGATAGATGCATTAGTTAGAGATTTATTTTGAAAAAATGTATAACTTAGTACACAATAAAACTTGAATATATAATGACAACAAAAGCAATAAAGGAAACTAATTGATTGAATACATTTGTTACTAAAATGAGATTAAAACAAAAAATTATCAATCGTCATTGTGATAATAAGCATATATTACATCTTGTTGCAAATTAAGTGGTTACAACTACATTTAACACATGAACATCAAGGTGTTACATCAAATTACAAATTTTTCTAAGATTTTCAAATTGATCAATATTTTAAATAGATCCAAAAAAGTTTATGCATTGATCAAAGTCATGTTTTTGAAAAGCTTTGGGAATCATTGTGTTACTTTGCAGTTTTTGCATAAAGAGTATACAAGAGTTTAGAATTAATTTTGTTAACTCTATTTGTGTATGTCTGCTATATTTTATTTTGGCAACAGTAAAATTCTAATTAACTTTAGTTTGAAAAGCAACCTATATTAGATTCTAATTTTTATTTTACTTCAAAATTAAATAATACAAAAATTAAAGTACAATAAACTTGAATTTGAAAAAAATGATGTGATTTATGTCAAGTATTAATTTTTTCAAGTCAATTTAAATACAATAATGTATGATGATTAGATTAACACTATGTAAAAAAGCTCACAAAACTTTTATGCAACACAATTAAAATGTTTATATCTTAAAAGCATTGATGAGTGAAAATTATCCATGGATGAAATTCATAGTGATGAATCATGTTCATTGTTTGGGATTGAATTTTTGTATGAATTGTTTGTATTTACTGCGTTTGAATTTTGCATTAAATTTATGGCATAAATTAGTAAATTGAATATTTTATGGAAATTTTTTCTGTATTAAAATCTTTCATCCAAAAAAATTCAAATGCTTATGAAGATGTAAATTTTACAATCCAATGTAAAATCTTTGAAAAAATTTTAAACTACTAATGTTTTAAATTAACAAATTTTTAAAATGGTTAATAATTATTATATAAAAATGTAATTTAAACAAATCTATATTTAAGTTTATAATTTTTTAATTAAAAAATCAAATAATATCAAAAGAAATGTACATGTTAAATTATTGTTATTGTTTATAAATATTTATTACATCTTTTGATTACATATGGATTATTTTAACAATACTAATTATTGGTAGAGTTAGAGATCTTCAAATGTGTACAATTCAATTTTCGTTTACTCTAACATTTAAGATAAATTTTATCCATATAATTTCAATCCATGCATCATTATATATACTATGGAGAATCCACTAGAGATCTCATGAACTCTCAAATTCAGATTAGTAAATTAGATATATAATTCATTAAACTTGACAATCATATCATCAAAACATATTATAAATAGAACTATTAAATGAGATATTAAAAATGGTGAAATTTTCTACTAAATTTATCTTTGAATAGAATCTTTTTGCAGAACAACATATTAAAAATATGACTTTTGTTGATGATTGTGAAACATGTTCTTTGATTTTTTTAGAAAATTAAGCTTTACAATCTCACATGACAATCATATACTAGTGTACGTATCTCATCTTGAATTTTTTAAAAATTCATATCTGCTTAAATTTTTTGTTAGTTTTGAATTGCAATGTAAAATTGATGAACAACATCAATGATGTTAGATAATGAAACTGATAAAACTATAAATATGAAATAATCATAATCATGTAATATATTAAACAATGTTATGATTTAATAGTCAATTGATTTATATTATCTATTTGAAAACTTCACATATATAAGTAAAAAATACAGAAATAATTGTATCTTATCAAAATAAAATAATTTTATTTCCAATGTATGTTATGAATATAAATTTTCAAGTTATATTTCTAGTTATATTTTTTTACTAGACCTATAAATCATAAAATTTTCATTAATATTACCAAAAGAATTTTAAAAATTCTATTTTAAATATATATTCATTTTTATCACTAGATATTTAACAAATTTGGATATATATGTTGATGTTATATTAAAACAAATGAGTTATTTTCTAGATATTTTCACATAACACTAAATTTTTTTTACAAACGCTCTGTGAAGGAAATTAATTTTATTATATGATATTCAATCAATTCCGAAGAATTTCATAACTAAAAAATAAATAAATATTAATCTTTGTACATGCATAAAACATGATAAATGATGAAAACAATTATATGTTAGATGAGATGTAAATATGAACTAAATTAATTGAATGCGAAATTTAATTAACTATTGAAACTGTCGAGATCTAAAGAATCGGTGCAATCGGATAAACTCGACTTCGCCAAATTTGTGTAACTGATTAAAGAAAAAAAATCGCGGTGAGTGGCAAATTTGGCCTGCCATTGTGTGCTTTATGAGGCTACTTTCATTTGATTGATTCCGAAGCGAGGGAGCACATTGTGCAGAAAAGCTGACTGCGACTTGATCGAAGTCATGGAGGACGAGAAAGAGGAGCCTCAATCTGCCGTGACCAGTTTTACAGAGCGGTGGCGGAAGACCAAAGCTCACTGGAATTCTTATCCTTACGTCTGGGCTTCTTACTTCGTTGTATTTGGTAAGCGTTCCACATTGATCCAGACTTTTGCTTCTTCGATGTTGTACATGTGATCCTGTTCTCTTGCTCCGAAATGTTGAAATCATTCCAATCCTTCCTCAGTATCAATCTCTGAATGCTTAATTGGAAGTTCTCATCTTTGTGAGATGCTGTGAACGGGGGGTCTGAGATGTCCATCTTCTGATCGCATTGTGCCCCAGCGGTTTTAATTTGTGCATTGAGGGAAAATAGGTTGCAATATCTGACAGGGCAGTTTGCATTTTGACATTTTGATCGGTACAATCGCCCCCATTTAATCCATACATCAACCCAATTGAGACTCAAAGTCGAAATTTGAGATAAATTTGTTTCAATACAATCGAATGAGTCCGCTACAGCAGTTACATCACAAACGTGTTGAGAATTCTGTTGATGGTGCTTGTGTACAGGGGGTCTCGGTGTATATTCAGCATATAGATGGAAGGCACTGCGGAAGGTGGAGGATGAATTGCTGAGGTTTCAGGACAAGTTGAGGAACACCATGACTATGGAAGAACTCGAGCAAGCTGTCAAGGATTCTCAAGCGGGAAAATTTTAGCTCGTGAGGGCGCTTTGGGGGCAAAATGGTTTGTGCCTTTTTTGGTGTAAAGACCTTGTAACGCAGCTTTTTATTTAATCTTTTATCTATGATCCCTTCTACTCAGGAAGTCGGACTGAGATGGTTGGTCGAGAGGTTTAGGTTTAGGGCTTGAGGTTTAGAGTTTAGGGGATATGACAGTTACCACCATGAGACCACGGAAGCCTATGTTTCCTTTCACAGGGAGAAGTCATTGCAATCTCCAGGATGCTAGTGAAATCACCGGAGGATTTGAAGCTGTGAATATTTAGGATTTAGTCACCGGTCAGTTAATATTTCCTAAAGGCGGTGGTTAATGGAATAAAGCTATCAAAGGAAGACTGCTGTCCACAATATGTAAAGTTTTCAGAACTTTGTGACATTGCAAGCAAGAAGCTACTCTGCTGCACAAGGGCTGCCTCGATTCGCCCTTCTTACTCGATTCCTTTTCATATAATCTTGTCATACTGGTCTTTTGAAGTCTTCTGCATTGTTTTTTGTAAATTTTTAGACCTTCATTGTATGTCTTGACAGCCCAAGGATCTGAATATAAACTGCATCATGTGAGTCGGTGTGGCCAGAGCTCAAATTGGCCTCAGCACTTCAAACAGAAAAAGAAAATCTTGCTCTCGGTGATGGCATGGTGAAGTCCCGGCATAGGCACATCGTTCTTTGTTTTTTCTCTCTTAGAGCCTCAGTTGCAAGTTTGTTGTGATTGTCTGCCCCTGTGCTCTCAGCCTTTCATGCTTGAAAAGAGGATGGGTTCGCGATCAAGTGGAAGGAGACAACGTAGAGTCTCGACTCAATCTGGGACGTGAACTGGAGAGACTGCATATCATCACTACAAATTTTAAGGGAAGGCCATTTCTCAGCACACAGCAGACGAGATATAAGACCGAATGCGCGGCTGTGATTCTTCGACCCTTAACTGCACAGTGCTACAACAGGCTCTTGATGCCTTCTAAGCAGCACTAAGCAGTTACTGAAATCTGTCCTGAACAGCTTCACAGCTTATGTTATCAAACCTTAATATTCTACCTTCGTTTACTCTGCAAGAGTCCAAGAAACCTCCAATTAATCAAACTTCCAAGGTTTGCACTCCCTTTTGTATCACATCTAACGGGAGAAGGTGGGACCATGACTTTGAGTGAAGCGTATTTCTTGCTTAGAGTCAACTAAACAGTAGAGATTGTCCCGGGTTATGTTCAAAGATCGTCACTGTGCAATCACCAAATCTTAGAAAGGTCTTTAAAAAATCGTGAAAGTATTCACAAGATATCGTGACTTGTTTATCGGTACTTGGGCTTCAAGTACACTATCGTACTAAGCATTCATTACACTTCTGCTCGTGGTGAACGTTCTGCTTGAGGACTTCTGAATTGGACAAGTTGCTTCAGTCCACCACATATTGTAATGGATAAAGTGAACTAAGAGACAGAATCCTCAATTGATTGGGAGATACACTTGGAGCCAAGCGAAAGCCAGGTGACCACCTCAACCGTCAAAAGAGTGGACTGTGTAGTGGAGACTTGGTTGATGGACCAGAGCACTAGTGGAGGATAAGCTAGCTGTCTCAAGACTTCCGCATCTAGATGGTTGGACGATTTGCTCTTGTGACCACTACTCTAATGCAAAGCTGCATTTCAACACCTAGAAGCGGACATGTAGAGGACAATAATGAGGTGCGGAAGGAGACCTACAAGCAGGAATAGAGTGCTCGATCTCTCCACGCACATGTCTCATGCAGTGAAGGCAGAAACCTCACAATTATAGCATGATGAACAAGAGTTGAAACCCAGAGCGAAACGGAACCCCAAGGACCCTTAAACTATGGACTGAGAACGGATCCTCGCATGTTGGAGAGCGTGTTGTGTACGAGTACACAGAAACCCAAGTCCCAAGTCTGCGGCAAATCGTTTGCTACAAGTCTGCAGCTTTTTTGTTTTTCCGGTGATTGATTAGTGAGAAGAATGTCGTAGTTTACCTCCTGGCAAAAGTTTCATCTACAACACTGTCTTCCTCTTCGTACGTTATATGTTCCAAATGCAGATAGATTCTGACAGTGATGGTCCACAATCAAGTGGATGTGAGTCAGAATGGTCCCAGGCCACCGGCATTGTTATAAGCCTTGAGCCATTTCTGATATTCTTGTTTTAGTGTTGGTGTGTTTTTTTGGTACACCAGTCTCTTGCACACGCTTTCTCATTTATAGAGTTTCAAGTTTTGGAGATCTACAATTCCAAGGATCTTCGAACCCTTGGGATCCTTATTCCCAACACGATGCATGCGTGATCTGGAAGACATCGGGTTGCATATAGTAAATTCCATATCAGTGCGGCGGTTCATGTGAAGCTTCAGCTGGTCGAAGAAATTCCCTCGAAGACCCCGCTCCGCACTCGATGCACTAATATCGAGTGTGAATCATGAAAGTCTTCGTAAGAAAGGCAGCCTGCACTTTTTCCAGTTCAGGAGGACTTTCAAGGATTCACCGGACCGGCCAGCTCAAATGTCATCAGCACGACAGCAAGCAAGCCAGTAGACCTTGAGCGTTCCATGTTTTTCACACGCTCGACGACATGGAGCCACTGAGCTCATGCGCATGCTGATCATGTTTGAGGGGCCATCCCCATCCAAGCTCCCCAATTCTAATCGTTTCCACCTTCGGAAGACTTCTCGCTCTCACATCATCCACTGAGCGCCACCTCCAGCTTGCCGGCCAGCGCACCGACTCAGGGTTTACACAAAAGAAAAAGCAATCAGCAGATGTCACATGAAGGTGACATCCATCTCTTTCCAGCTCCAGCTGAAGCTTTTTCTGAAGCCGGCCGGCCCATAACTATTTAACAGACGGGGAACCGAAGGCCGTCAGGGGTAGAAAAGGAATGCTGGGGAAGAGGGAGACGAGGAGAGGCCGGGTCTCAGATTCTATAGCGTCTAAGACTCAAGTCTAATGATTCTCTGTGAGATAATTGGTGGTTGAGGTGTGAAGCTAGCTCGTGTAGTAGTGTGGTAAGTTTTCTCCAAAAAGGTTATGTTTTTTCGTCAAGGCATCTGTTTGTTTACGGTGTGATGATTCCCTGGAGGAGGAGGATTGTTATAGTGAGTTTCAAAGTGGGTTTAGTAATTTGGCCCTTGAGATATTTGAAGTCGTATTATTTTATCTTCTTATGTCTAACATTTCAAACTCTTATTCGCAGTCACACAAGCTGAAGCACAAAGCCTCCGATGAGTTCTTTGATGGTCAATCAGCTAGAGACACTAGATTCCTTTCACTTCAAGCACAGTTGAAGAACTAAGTTTCTAAAATAGGATAGATAACTAATTTTCAAAAATGAAAGGTAAATATATTTTTTGTTAATCTATTTCTATAATAATAGTTGAAGAAATGAGTTTCAATTTGAACTTCGAATAATTTTTTATGCCCATGATATTCATGAAATCAAATGACTTTAGCTTTGGATGAAATAAATTATCAACTCAATTAATGAAGACAACATAAGATTGTTCATGAGTCAATATTAAAGATCAAACACCATCTTTCGGTTTAATTAGAAAGAGAACATACAACTCAACGTTTTATAGCCTTAAGTAGAATTATGTGTCTCACTCCGAGTTATTTACTACTTCTTCGGAGCCTTCAGATTTGAGGATAGATGAATTTGATAATTTGATTATAAATGGTTATTCGATAAAGAAAATTTGAAGATAAGAAAATTGTCATAATTTTATATAGTAGTGCTATTACATGTCAATCTTGTAATGAGAAAGTTTAGAAATTACATTCTATATTTATTTTTCAGTTTTCCTTATGAAAGGGTTCAATTGTAAGAGTTGGGTTGAAAATGTTTTCATTTCAATCAATGAATGAATTTTCCTCCAATCATTTCTATACTCTCTTCAATTGTGTTTTGATGTCACTAGTCTTTAAAATTGATTACATGTTTCAACTTCATCACCGTTTGCCATGAATTTGTTTATGTCAAGATAATTCGTGGTCATGGTAAGATAAAGCATACAATCAGTATGGCTACAATAAAGATAACAATGTAGTGTATCTAATATAAAGATGTTCATGATCATGAACATCTTTATATGGTGGAGATATGAAATATTGTTTATTTTATATTATGAACATTTTTTGATCAAAATGGAGTCTACAAGAACATGGATCCAGCAAAACATGCTATTTTAACACATGGCAACCTTGAATAGTCATACCATGAATATTTGATGGTATGACTGCTATACCAATGACATAAGATGAGATCAAAACTTCATTTGTCAATCACAATGTTGTTCAGACTAATGACAACAAAACAAAGTAAAACTAGGAGCTAAAATGGAAAAAAGAGCAACTTGTCCAATCACTCTCACCTCGCAGCAGAATTTTGGTGACCTCACACTGTAATTAAGTTGTCACAATGCAGGGAGGCACTACGAGTTTTGATGATGATCCGTAGCTGAGAAACTTGTAGTTCTTCCTTTGCAGTGTCAAAGATGAAAAATAAGAAAAAACAATTTTCTTGCTTGTTTATGAATAAACTTACTCATATAGTGCTTAGTATTCATAATTGATGACTGAGATATCCTTGATGAAGAATCAATCTCCTTACTGTTTAAGGTTTGCGCATCTTTGAAGATAAGACTTGAGCCACCGTTCACCACACGATGGCATTTCTTGAACTGCGATGCATTGACCCATAGTCACTCTACGTCCAAACAAAGTCGCCTATTCTTGCATTTCGTACAAAGTCAATTGCAGAAACTTCCCCATTCACGAGGTTTCTACGGTTTAGTGACCGAGGGGGGCCTGCAGGGTTTCGCGGCCGTACGGGTAAGAGGAATTCAAGTTGATTACTTGGGATGGGCAGTTCTTTCGTAAGCATGGATAGACTGAGGGGTCTGGCTGCGGCAAGCGTAAGACTGATGCTCTGCACATGTGAAACATAGGAGCGCCTCTGCATAGAACATGTCCCGAGGGGAGCATTCTCTTTCAGTTTGTGCACACGTGTTCCTGGGCAATTAATCCGATGAGGAAAAACAATGCAATAGACACTAGTTTAAGCTTGAAGTCTAGAAAGTGAATTGCACCTTCTCATATGAACACTTCATGAGATTTTAGAATGGTCTCGCCCTTTGATCTCGACGTTCATAAAGACAACTGACAAGCGTATAAAGATTGAGTAATGAATTTGAAAGATTTGCTTCAAAACCTCGCATACACATTCGCATGACTGCATTTGGATCCGAAGCGTGACCTCTCAACCTTCGAAAGTAACATGTTAATAAAAATTTAGCTTCTATTCAAGATCTCCGGAAAAGTAAGCCGAACCTGTTCATCATGCAAATGACAGGAGAAGATTAGGCATAATCGGCTGAATATCCTAACAGCTTTGCAATCTAGAAAAGTGGGTTGACTACCCGTCACGAGATTTGAGCGACTCGAAGTGCAATAAAGATTTCAAAGATAAAGAGGGAAGATAAAGCGACGTGTTCATGCACAAAATCTTTGAGCACGCAGATATGACAATCACTGCTGTAGTTTTAATTCATACTGATACTTTGTAGTGCGTACCAGTGATACACCAATCGTTGCTTCTCCATTATCGCTTACAAAAGCATATCATACGGTCAAAAATTGAATGACTACCTGAGACTAAAGTCCTCTCTCTGCCAGTGTTGATACCAGTGCATCATACTGAAGATCTGAAAGACGTTACCTGCACAATGTAGGTGTTATTGGGAATTTTCCTAAAAGGTTTGACCAGTGTAAGGACTCGTCTATACTAACGTGGTAACATCGGGACTTGTAGGAAGCCTTGATCACGCATGAAGACTGGAGCAGGATAACCTAGTCATGAACATTAACAACTGTGAAGCCATGGATGGTGGGAACGCACTCTCCTGTGCATAGAGGTTCGTCATGCACATTACTCCGGACGTTCAAAGTTGTGTTGCGGACATTTATCCTGGGTATTGCAAGGCCTGTGTCATAAGCCTCCTGTGTCATCTCATGAACAATACTGGAAGAATTCTGCATTAGTTTGTATCCAGAATTTTTATTTGGCCTTCATCCTGTACCATTGGGAAAACCACATTACTTCGCTAGAAGTGCATGGCATTATTGAAGACAAATAAATCTTGCAGAGGAGTGGCCACGACATACATACGACAAATATGGATCGGTATCTTGTACTTGGAAGGAAGACCATGTGGTGGTCATTCTCACCAGTATCCGCAGGTTATGCTGTGTGCTGCTCCAATTGGTTTCCTGGAGGTGAATGAACAGATGATGTAGATGCACATCTCAATACATTTTACTCTGAAGATCGTGGTAATGAAATCTACTACGCACATTGGGCGAGCCACGATTCAACTTCGTCCATCTCCTTAGGAGCAGATGCTGTGAGAATCTGCAGAATACAATTTGAAGTGCTCAGAAATCGTTTTGATGCACATTCTTGTCAAGTCATCACAACATAACGTTCCAGTTCCATTCATTACACTTTAAAATGACATCTACTACAAAAAGCATCGAATTGTATAACAACGTAAACGAATTACTTCGTTACCTCATGACCAGTTGAGGTAATCAGAACTTCATCCTCTATTCTGACACCGATGCCACGTAACCTGGAAGGAAAAATCACGCAGAATAAGACTCGTTTGTAGAAACCTTATAAAAGACAACACGGGCATCATCTGCTCCTGCCTTGCCATACCATGCAGTAAGATAGATCTTGGCATGTATCCTGCTAAATATGCATTCTTCTTGTCAAACCCCTCCGGTTATATCGTCTGGGCTCTCTCGAAGTTCATTCCAGTTTCGAAGAGTAAAGCGTTGCACGTACTTTGTTCAAACTTCCTTCTTACTTCTTCCTATACTTGTAGGTCTTGCATATAAAACTAAGTGTGACATTCTCTTCGTAACACAGTTTTCCTAGCGTTCCTAATACTTCAGAAAAACAATAAATCTCAAAGTGATCTGATGGTCTTCTTCATGATAACAAACTATTACCTTTCTGGTACATTAGGTTTTACGGGAATATAGAGAGCCGGTTCGATGGTGATAACCTGCGAATTGAGCATCCACCAAATTCAGCACTACATGCAAGCTTCTTCAATTGTGAGTATAATTCTGTAAACATTCCTGTATTAGTCCAAGGTTCGTAGAGTGCATGAAGGTGGAAAACATAGGCTACAAGGCTTTCTGTCATCCCAAGGGTCTTCTTCTATACAGCACACAGAATTTAATGAGCCGGCAGGCCTCCCTCCACAATTTAAACCATAACTGCGACAACGCGTATATAATGCATAGATCCTCACCCTCACTCAAACTCAAGCAACACCCTTAAACAAAAGCGCAGCCTATTTGCAAGAACGGAGGTGACATGAGTGTTGTTTCACAAGGGTCCGTCGACCTTCGACTATGAAGCTAACGGGCAGACCATCAAGTTATCAACATGTTAGTTTCAACACCTGCTTGAGCAATATCGCAGCCGTCAAGCAGTTTCCAGCGGAGCCTAACTACAACACACGCAGAAAAGGAAAAACACGTACCACTCCTGGTTGAAGAGGGACGTCGATATTGATACCTGCACAATCATGTACATCCATTCCAAGATAATGGCCTGCATAACAGGGCATACTAGATTAATAGAAGTCATTGCAGAGGCTCCTGTTCTTAGTACTCTTGTGTAAAATAAGAAAACACCCGTAACTATCTATATACGGACTATGTTGAACCACAAGACTGTAGTTGAGACTCTCACCAACTGCACTTGGGTTAAAGCTCCGGAAAGTACGCCCGAGAGTTTGAGTGTCAGTAACCAAACCAAGCTTTAGAAGTCCCCGAGATAGCATGAGACCCTACAAAACATTTGCAAAAGTAAACATTATCCAACCGCAATAACCTTAGCTCTGTATACTCTTCAGACAAAATAGTGAGGAGAGTAGAAGATATAAAACTAAAGGAACAGCAAGTAGTTACGTCTACTTTGTTGTATCGTGATAGTAAGAGTGGAACCTACCGACTTTATATGAATCTCCCGAAGGGTGATTCCCGGCTTACAAAGCTTGAAGCACTCTTTCATCGTCTCCAGAACAATCTCATAAACTTCTCTCTGTTGGACATGCAATCAGACACGAAATGTGCCAATGAACAAAAAGTTAACAATTGAGTCAAGTGTTGAAACATTGCCATCCCTGTTGAATGAGGTTCATAACTCCATTCAAATATTATAATCTAGGTCAGTATGATGAGTAGTTAAACTGATTTGAACAAAATATCTTTGACAGACTGGAGCTTTACATTTGCGCCACTGAAGGAGCCTGAGACAGGCCAGGTGCGCGTCATGTCACTAACATAGCCATGAAGCTCGCATCCGGCATCCAACAGCACCATGCGCCCCTCCTCAATCTGCAACGGCAGAGCGTAAAAACGGAGTTCATCACTACGATCCGACGCTTTCGTTTCATGTATATCAAGTTTTGGTTCCTTACATGGAATGTGGGTGTATAGAGTAAAAAGATCGGGCTTTGAGATGGCTGCAACAGACTTGGATAATCCATGACGGAAAGACTTACTTGCTTGTCATTACGCGAATAGTGGATGACGCTGGCACTGGCTCCACCTGCTGAGACAGTAGGGAACCTGGGAAAGACAGACAGGAAATCAAACTAGGAGAAAAGGTTCAAACATAAATCTCATACAAAAGCACCTTCAACATAACAACACATCAGGACCATGGAGGAGTTATGTTGATTGAGCCTTGGGTTCTCTGAAGTGCTTCAAAAACGTCATAACCGACGATTTCTTTTTGAATGAATTGTTTGCGTACGAAACTAGATGATTCTGAGCTAGCTTGAGGTAGTCTCATGACAAGTATAGAAAATCTTACGACATGCGCTGGGCTCCTCTGATTCTGCACTCATGCTCCACGGTAGCTGCCAGCACACGTTCATGCGGATAACGCCTTGATACAGACATTGTTTGCAGAAACGCCTACAGAAACAATAAACATGAGACGCCTTAGATACATCATTATATTGAAAGACATATGACAATACAAGTTCCACAGTGCACGTCACAACTTTTTCCACAACACACAACACCAGCGCAACCAATATACATACATTGTACTTCATTTCCTTGTATCTCGACAATAACTAAAATAATATGAACAGCTTTTGAACTCTTACAGAAGATAAGTGTCTTCAGTGCTGACCTGACAAGTGATGTCGGCTGCCTCTCTCATACGCTGTATTTCAGCTGGTGATTTAACCCAACGAAGGTTGTGACTGTACTTTTGTAATGTTTGAACTTTGTGATTTTGCTTGGCTTCCTGAATATCAGGCAGACCCCAAAACAATGGCTTTGGGCATGAAGTGTCATAAATGATATTTGCTGCTCTGCGGATCATACCGGGTAGAATCTACACAACGATCACCATAGTAATGAGGAACGGACCCCAAAAAATAACAATTTCGACGCCAGTTATGGCAAACAAATTCAGATTCACGAACCTGGACAAATATTTCTTAGTTATCTCCATAAGAGTTCGCATGGAAAGCATTGCCAAAAAACCATGGCCGCCATAGCTGACACTATCACGACTTAGTTTTAAAAGAGACAGGCAAAAACCTCAAAACATGGTGATCCTCAAGACCTCAGGTATTTGTCTGGATGAATAGGCCTGATCTGCTCCAAAGATATCTACAGCTGTCTCGGGTCCTGCAAACTTCCCGTCCCATATCTCTCTCTGCCACAACAATTAGAAATGATCACAGCATGAGATTCGACGGAGCCCTGGTATGTTATCCCTTTCCTCGTTAACGGAAGACTGACATCATTCACCATTCACCAAACACGAGAAGTTATAGAACTTGTCTCCAGGTTTCGTAGAAAGCCAAAATAATACACCGTCTGAGTACTTCTACAAGAGAAGAGAAAGATGCATGAGATGAGAGAAAGCTGAATGTATAATTTGGAGGGCTTGATAGGGCGTCATACCTCTGGATCGGGCTCAGGCATGAACATGCAAAGATCGGAACGATCATCAATGACGGCGATACCACCTGGCTGCTGGCAGCCCGTGAAGTAGAGGTAGTCTGCATCTTGGCGGTAGGGGTAGGGAACAGCATCTGTCATTTGCTTCGTTGTTGCAGCTCCTAAAATCACTATACTTCCTGGTGGCACCACTTGCCTAAGCTTCTGCCTTCTCAACGCAAATTCCTGAGAAGTGATACCTGGCATAATTTCCCCCGGTGCCACAAGCTGCACACGAATGCCATCTCAGAGCAGATTACAAGGCAAGTTGAGAGACGAGGACGTCACTGAAAGAATCAACAATGCCTCCTGAGTGAGGGCCACCGCATTGCTAGAGCCAACCAATATATGGGGGATATCCCCGCATGGAAAACAAAAAGTGTTCCGGATTAGTCAAAAACTTTTGTTACGTTTTTGTTTGTGAGTACACTCGGACTTCTGGAAAAAAATTTGAGGCAGCGTGAGGTGCAAAAACAGGAGAACAGTGGTGTATTCACAGCACGGGAGCCCAATGCACGAAGGCAGCGAGACATACCTCAGGATGTGTTTCAAACGTCGGCTGCCCAGCATCGACTGCTTCTTCCCTTATAAGAGAGGCCGATCGTGTATATTTTCGAACACTGGAGGATGGTTGCCGACACTGCATGATCTGCTTAAGAAACAAAATGCACACTTGTAACGAAGGGCGACCAAATGATGTTTTCCCAAAGAGAGCAAAATTCCGATTGTCTACGATTTTTCCTGGACATTTCCATCTGATTACAGTACATCCGGTTCCATTCGACACTTTGTAGAAGTCCATAGAGTTTACCAGATGTACACCACGGCCTAGCAGCCTCGCAGAGGTAGTAGTGCGTGACGCCATAAAACCAGCGGGTCTTAACCTTGCAGAGCCTCCTTACCCTCGAGAGCAACAATTCCCGTTCCCGCGCAATGAGACTTTCAGTCTAAATAACGACGCACGCCGATCGACTGAATTCTAGTGCACCCGAGACCTTCTTTACCATACCATCGATCGCTAGACGCGATTCGATGCCGTGTGCGCGGAAATTACCAGAGCAAAATCCAGTATACCTTTCTTTCCAGAATTCAAACCTCAGTGAGTTATATTCATCGTCGAGCCCTCAATCGACCGTAGAAATCAAGAAGTATAAATGTAAGAAATTGCGGATTTCCGTCACCAAAGCTCGACAATCCCCTTCGCTGGACGTGATGGAAACCCCACGCAATACTTTTAGTTCTCGCTCGCTATGTCGAGCTCAAAGCTATAATCCCTTCCCTTTCGCTTCGTTGCAGTCAGCTACTCCCAATGGGCACAATTAACTTTCTCGAGTCTGGTACCGCATTGTTCTAATGCTTCATCGTTCCATGGATCATACCCTTTTCGCTCTTCTCTAGCACATGACAGACACTTCTTCCCAAGATATTTTGGAAATGTCTCTGGGAATTTCAGTACACCATCGCCCCTGCCTTCTTGCACTGCATTACAATGTGGCTTGAACTCTCCGATTTAAGATCAAGAATGGTTTTGATTGATTCTATTTGTTTTGCATCTTCATTTATCGCACATATTTACTACATTCGCTCAAGGGAAGTAGAGGAGCAACATGTTGACTTATCACGGGCAATTTCTTTATTTTGTTCTGACCTCTAGGTTGGCTTTGCAACAATGTGCTAGATTGGAAATGTTACACATGGGTACATAAAAATAACATGTACTGGAATGTATCTGCAGATGATTTTGCTTTATCTTCTTCAGACTAAAAATTAGTCATAAATAATTCAACTGCACAGAGGTTTCTACAAAATAGTTCCCAATACATGAGTCAGAAACCTAATAAACTCAAATCTTGATTAATTTTAGTTAGTTAAATTATAGTTACTTAGACTTGGGCTGACCCTCCAATAAAAGAGTGATTGCAAAAATGGCATAGTACACAGTAGGGTTTACCCCGTAAAACTACTACTGTGTCCCGTGAGCCATAGATTTTTTCATGTAAAGTGTTAAATGCAAGCATTCTCTTTGAATTTCGAACCAGTATATAATCAATTATGGGTGATTAGATCATGAACATTATAAAATTGGTTGTGAGATAGTCAAGTTATTCGAACCCGCAACCAAGACTCAAATAAATAACCCTTTGGTTGCCAATCAAAATTTGGGATCGGTCATTTATGATAACTTATGATTTTGGAAATTATTTTGTAAAGAAAATGCATGCACGAAGAATATCCTGCAACAATAAGCAAGGGAGATCTTGAGGACAAGCTTCCTCAGCCCCGCATAAGAACTCCGTAGCTTACAGGTTCCCAAAAAAACATTCAGACTTTCCTCGTTACTGTCACCCACAAGATTCAGTTTTCGTGATGACCCTCCATTCTTCCAATCTGTGATATCAGTTTGCGCCTTCACCTCCCCCGCAGCACATCGCCCCAAAAAATTATATCATAGTCCTGTCGCACTCCACCGTAAAAAATCTGTTTTCCCCGCCCGTCAGGAGAGGGAAGCATTTCAGGACTTTGCAGAAGTTTCTTCCAAGTCCTGAGTAGAGGCTGCTCCGGGGTAAGTACAGTAGCCGTCAAGCCGAACAGGGACGAAACCAAACGGGTCATCTGGGACAATGACGGGTAACGTGGGACCGTCTCGAAAGAGAGGACGAAGGGTTTTCACACTCGGTTGTCAACCCGAGTTAAACCAACGGGGCTGACATGATATTATACACGGGGCACGTTCGAATTTAGACCTAAGGAAAAAATGAGGTCTCGGACGGAAGTCTAAGTTGAGATCGAGTTGCTGCAAGTTTGAGAAACAGGGTTTAGGGGTTAAGGGAAGACAACCCTGGCCGCCGAAGCAAGCGAGTGCAGAAGAGGAAGCGTAGCGTCTCCACGGCTTTAGGGGTTTGGGAGTGACGAGGACAAGCAGCAGAGTCGATTCTCGTCGTCAGAATCAGCGAGCAGTCGTCGATCGGAGCGACGAATTCCGCTGCCCGGAAGCGCCATGAATTGAGCAGCAGCAGCAATCGGGGTCGCGCAGTGAGGCTTGTGGCTAATTCGCGTCGAGCGAGCGCGCGCACGCCTCAGCGATGGCGCAGCTGCCGCGCTGCGTGCAGCAGGCGTCTTGGAAGCGCGTGTCGGGCGTGTGCTCACTGACCTTGAAGTCGCTCAGTTGCTCGCCCGCGGTCTCTTCCGCTGGCAATTTTCGTTCCGCCGCCGCTTCGAGTGTGAGTTCTGATTCTTCGTCGTCGTCCTCGGGGTTTGCGGCCCTGCGGCCGTCTCAGTCCGTGTTGGTTTTGTGTGGATCGTCTCAGAAGCTTTCCCGGTCCGTGTACACCGATCTGACGTGCGATAGGTTGAGATTTGCTCTCAGGCGGTCCTCTCTTTTCCTCGGCGATGCTCTCAGTTCGTCGAGAAATTTGAGCTCCGGCAGTGGATTGCCTGGCTTGGGTACTTTTGTTGCCCGCAGCTTCAGTTCTTCGGACGCCTCGACTGTCGTCGATGGAGAGGTGAAGGATTCCGTCTCCACCGAGGAGACTGAGACGCAGAGAAGTTCTCTGGTTGCTGAAATCGAGTCCAAGGAGCGTGAGTTGGATGAGCTGCGTCGAGCTCTGAGATTGGTTGACAATTCTGTCGATGAGACGGAAGAGCATGATGCTGAAGAGCACGATACAAATGAACAGCTGGATGGTGGCGGTGAAGTGGTTGAGGCTGCTTCCTCGGCGGATCTTGATACCGACTCTGACAGCACTTCGGACGATAGCGACCTCGAATTCGAAGATGAAAGCGCTGATGTGATCGTTTTGGGGGCAGGGGACGATGTAGCTCCCAGTGTATCCACGTCTGAAGAAGCTGAAGAAGAAAATGGCAGTGTTGCTTCATCTGCCGTAGACTCTGAAACTGAGAAGAAGCATAGCACGCACCCATGGCCCCAATGGACAAGATTTTTGAAGCACCTGACGAAAGGAAATTATTTCGCCAACGAGGAGGGCAAGGAAATCGACATAGAAGCCATCGATCCCGAGGACTTTGGACTTATCAAGAGAGCTTGCTTGAACTTCGCTCGTGAACGGGACGATATATTCTCGTGCGTGTCGTTACTCGCATTTTCTCAGATCTATTGTTTAAGTGTTAGTTGTGTTTGCTTCTTAATAGCTCTTTAGTGCTCGAAATGCATTTCGGTGTCTGGGCGTCCTTGTGAATGATTCAGTCATTGCCGAAGCACTAGCTGAATTCTGTGTGATTTGATGGCTGTTGGAGGTCTTCGAGGGCAACCTTATTGGCTGGTTTGTGAGGTTCTGTGTTTCTGTATGAAAGTTATTCTCCGATCAGCTGATGAGTTTGTCTTCACATCGCAGAGGCTTCTCTCAGAAAGATTTGGAAACTATCGCTCGGTATGGATGCCCATCCACCGATCGGAAAGTTGTGAATGCCGGGAAAAGACTCAGGGAGTACCTCAAGATAGATGAGATCTCGGTAAGGGGACGATCTGGTCTATCTCTCTTGAGCATTTGAACTTTTCTTTTAAATTTCTCATCCCTACAAACTCGTCCATTATCAAGTAATTCGTTTGTGATGCACTGAGGATTAGTGATCTTCTCTTTGAACCTCAATCTAAGTGTGTAACGTTAGCTTTCTTGGATTTACAGGTTTGCAAGCCATGTGGCTTGAGATCATCATGTGAAAGAGCCGATTTTCGAGTAGCCTCTGACCATGTGGCGGGTACACCGGAAGTTTTGAGACTCCTGTCCCAGTACGCTCTTCATGTTTCACCCGACTCTATCAGAGATCTAAAGCTCCCCGAGATGGTGCAAAATGCCTGCACAAACCTTCTCCAACAAGCTGTTTCTCTTGGTTCTAAGACCAGGGACCCGAATCTGCCTAAGGTGGAGCGGAAGGCAGAAATGGTAAGGAGCAACAGGGATGACCGAGGAGATGAGCGAGCATCGAGGAGAAGAGGAAATGACTCGGATGTGGTAATGAAGCCTGGAGATTGGAAATGTACCCAGTAAGTAACGTTTCCATGTTCCGCATAAGACTCATCAACCCACAGTCCTCCCATCAATTATAGATCTAATGAATGAACCTCCTCCATATTTCTGACATCTCTTTTCGAGGTTTCTAACCTCGGCATGTTGTGTGTAGGTGTGAGTATGTTAACTTCGCTAGAAATAAGAACTGTCGCGAATGTGACGCTAAACGCCCTACCCCAGATATGCGACCTGGGGACTGGCTGTGTCCTGAGTAAGTTCACCACTCCGTTGCATACATTCCCATCTATCCAAAGAGCTGAATTTTGATGGATGCCTTTCCCGTCATTATTGATTGTCTGTTATTCAACTCTGAGATGTAGGCGAAGAAGGTTGCTGAGTCCTTCGCAACACCAGTTTACATGTTTTCTGTGTCGCCAGTTTTCCTCCCTCGATGTATATACTTCTGTTGAGTTCATAATCCGTGCAACCGTTATTTGTGGTTGTTTCAGATGCGATTTCTTGAATTTCTCTAGAAACCGTGAATGCCACGATTGCAAAGCACAGAGGCCACCGGGTGTCGGGTATGATGCAGCTGATACTGGCAGCGGCAGGGGCGGCGACAGAGGCGACAGAGGAGGAAGGTTTGACAGGGGATCCGATCGGGGCGATAGAGGAGGATACGGGCGAGAAAGAGAGAGCCGTGACTTCGACAGGGGTTCCAGCCGGTTTGAATCTCGTGGAGGAGACAGGGATAGAGGTTCATATGATCGATCAGATCGGTCACGTGATCGAGGTAGTGAGCGAGGTATGGACCGTCGCTCCAGAGGTGGGGATGAGCGAGAATCGTTTGATAGATCCAGAGGTGGTGATGAGCGAGAATCCTTTGACCGCAGATCACCCCGAGGAGAAGGTCGAGGTTCATTCGATCGCCGATCTGCTGGTACTGTGGAAGGAGGTCGTCGGGCCAAATATGAGGAATGGAAGCCCGATCTGAGCAAGAAGGATAAATACGTCGATGACGACGAAGATGACGAAGAGTTTTTGAAGAAGCTCGCAAAGGGAGGTAACGACGATGACGACTTTGACTTGGACTTGGACCTGGACGATGATGAAGGTCTGAGTGATGTGGAAGCCTTTGATGACGAAGAGTTTGAAGACATGAGGCCTGCCGCCTCTGCAAGCAGAGGAAGGGGTGGCCGCAGAGGCGGGGCTTCCAGCGACCGTAGACCCATGGGCACATTCGATGAGGACAGGCCAAGGTGGGAGGACGACAGGTCGTCTAGAAGCGGTGGAAGAGGAGGTGGCAGAGGAGGTAGAGGTAGAGGCGGAGGTGGCCGAAGTGGGGGTGGTGACCGGGGAGGTTACGATAGAGGAGAAAGGGATTCATGGAGTTCATCGTCTTCAAGAGGAGGCGGACGAGGTGGTGGACGAGGCGGCGGTAGAGGTGGCGGAAGAGGTAGAGGAGGAAGTGGGGGTCGTGGTAGGAGGTGAAAGGAGACTTGATCAGATTTAGAACTTGACCACGGGCTGTGTTGTGATATTGATCTGCAGATGAAACATGTATACTTCAGTCATCTTGCACCTGCTCTTTAGTTGAGCGGGGCAATCTTTTTGAAGTAGAGTGATAACAGTTTTTTTAATGTCGTGCAGTAGTAGTTGGCAGCACTTCAATTCCTCTTTAAATGTTAAGGTTTTAGGTTTGTAGATGCAAGCAGAGTATCGGTGTCGGTGTCCACTAGTAATGTTCGACGGCGATATCTTCATAGAGACACCAAAGGGGTAAAGGAGCTGGAGCTTCTGGTACAGTAGGAGCCCAGAAAGAGCTCTAAATGTGGATGGGAGTACGAAAGTTTCATGATTGGAAGTCAAGTATTGAAGGATTACGACGAACATTTTGCCGATCTGGGAGTTTATCTATAATTGTATTCATCATCAAGAGTTCTATACAAATGCAGATTATTGTTCAATACTGGTTTACTCGTTCAACTTTGGTCTTTCATATAAGAGCGGAAAATTTCGTAATATCTGTGGAGTCAGTTAGGCATCTATTTTGAAGCGGATGGGTTGTTGTATATGGTGCCTTGCTAAGATTACTACACACAATAGACATTGATATTAGTTTTGAATGGTGAAAACCTTCCGTGTTCCACGCGGGTAGACCTCGAGTTTTGAGAACTCGTAGACATATTGTTTTATGTCATATTTCAGCTTGACGATTGTGTACACGCGTCAGTGGTCGATCGATTATGAACCTGTAAAGATTAGCAAATCTCAACGGACGTGTGTTTCAAACAACATATGTAGCAGGCACGATCAAGCGTATCAATGGTAATTATCTTTTTGGGACACAATATTGTACATCTGAGCCACGAAGTTCTCTTTCGAGATGAGACACGAAGTGAATCACTTGCTGCTGACTTCTCACAAATTTTCGTTCTATACAATGGCTACAATAGTAATCAATCACATTCCGTGCACACTAAACGAATACCTCTACAGTTGACGGCCTCCGACCCCGTTTGCCCGTGTCTGTACCCCAAGGACAGTACCGTTCTGGCGCTATATTCAACACTTCTAACCGTTCTAGAGTAGAGTACTTCGTTTCAGGTCCTGAAGAGCTCTGATGGAACTGACAGTTGGTTTTACTGTAATATATCTTGTTATGTACGTCCTTCCATGGGCACGCTCCCAATCTAGATGGCCCCAACGCTCATGTGACCGAGATGGCCCAGGTCGGTATCCCAACGACGTTCGACATTCTAGGTTCACCACCACTGGTACAATCGTATGAACAATACTCGGTACAGAATTCGGAACTATGTACAATCCGAACTATCTACAAAGGCACATCGGTGGGATATCCACGAGGATATTTGGCAATAACATCACGAAGTTGCAATTCTTGCTCTCTCAGGTTGGATGGAAGGGAGTCGTACACGTCCGTGAAAAGATTAGACAATTCTGGTTTTTGCTTCTGACCTGCCTTGTTCATGGCCGCGATAACCTGGTGAACAACAAACGATTGGGAGCTCAGATTAGCACTTTATCTCTGAGAACTGACGTCATATATACTTAAATCACTAATTTTCAAAATGTAGTGATTCTATCACCCACGCTATGTGAGATCCAGAATCGTGACAGCGACATGTAACAGGCAGAGACAAGTCGATGGAAGCAAATCTACGGACAAGAGCGCTGTAGTCATGCCATGCTGTCGTAGATTCACTGAACCCCTTCATGCAGATTTTGCAGGGTATGGAACTAGAGGCCGAAGCAGTGCTACTCTGGGTCCAATAATCGATCGACTGCTGAGGACTGGGGTTGTGTGATGGTTTACAGGTTTGCACTTACCGAAGATCTCGCTTCACTTCGAATCGCCTTCTCGGATTTTGCATCCCACCAGCCCTGAGCTTCTATCCACTTCTTAAATCTGTTGACTGGATCACGAACGAGCTTCCAGTGCTCAATCTCCGCTTTCTTCCTGTATTTAGATGAATCGTCGGACGTGGAATGGTGACCAACGCGATAGCTCAGTGCCTGCGCTGCCAGCCAGATCGCCCCATAAGCACATGACTTGGCCAACATTCGGCGCACGGTTTCAGAAGTCAGACATGCAGCCATCATCATTCTCGCCACATTACTGGTGCGCGTCAGGAATCTGTCAAGAAATCAAACGATAAATTCCTCCGAATGCTTCACATGCCTACCTCTATGAGTACAGGTCTGCTCTCCTCGATGGCTATCTTTCGAGCTTCCTTGACCGCACAATACAGCGCCAAAGTATCCATGCCATCCACACGAATGCTCCGTATCCCGTACCCTCGCCCTTTAACCACTATTCCGTCACCTGCAATTGGAAGCGTTGAGTGCTCAGGAATCAGGACCTACTGTGATTGGACGCATTTTAGCATTTTAGAAATTTAGCTTCTGGCCGGAAACCATTTCCAAGTTCCAATCTCAGACCTTATGTACGATTGAAGGGAACAACAGCCGACACCGGCTCTCAAGACACTGAATCAGACGTGGATTTTATATTTCGGCGAACCATAGTGATGCGAGAAGATTTGTGAAAACAGCGTTTCTGAGACAAGGCACTTCGAAATCAGGTAGAAGGATACAAATCTACTGACTCTCGTGTCCCGGATTCTAACGCAACATTTGACGTCCAAAACTTACTTCTGAACTGGTCGTTCGTTGGAGTACTGATAGCCCAACCGTTGTTTCTACAGATGAAGATTGTCGGCGTCTCCAGAATGGCTGCAAAATTCAAAGCTGCATGAAAATCGCCCTGATGCAAAGTAAAACATCAGTAATCTTGTCTGTTTCGGGGGACCGGCAATGGACAACTGAAACTGTTATCGAGAACATTCACTCCTGTCAAATTAACAGCTCCCCTTTCATGATCAAATTCGTTGGAATAAAGTTTTGCATCTGGTCAGGAGAACTCTATCGACGGGCTTCTCGTTAGAATCAAATCCTCCATGTTCCGATAATAAGACAAATTCATGCCTCTGAAGGTGCTCGAAGTCTGAAGCTAGCTGAAGATATTTACCTCACTGGAAGCACCATCGCCAAAGTAAGCCACCGAGCAAGCGTCTTTCCTGGACATCTTCAAGCCATAAGCTGCACCCACCGCTTGCGGGAGTTGCGTCCTGCATCCAGTAACGTAGTCGGTGAAAAGACTGTCGGTGATTTCTAGTAGAGCATTTCTCCTGCATCTGTTGGACTACACTGTTCTACGCCTACCTGACTTGCAGACTCCTGACGTCAGACTGCGAAAAGGGAATTTTTCGATGTGAGAATTGTGCTTTTTCCTCCCTTTTGTACGAGAATCTCTTTTGGACAGTACTAGGACAAAAGATCACAGGTCTCGGCACAACGCTCACACCAGTAATCGGTGGTCGAAGAATAAACCGTGGGTGGAATATACTTACGCAATGGGGGACGATAAGGTGGGGCAATTGAGCTCACGTGAGCCATAGTGCACAGGCATTTGTCGACCTTTTCCCAGATCGGCTGCGTTCCCGAAGCACTGATCGGCGAAATCTTGCATTGTGAAGCCCCGCCACATCAAAATTCCGGGCTCCCGATACTGCAAGAACCAGTCATAACAGGATAACCTTCTATCAGCGCACTTGATCAGGGAGGGCATCCCCGTAGATCGAGCAAGGTCAGAATTCTGCTCACGCATATGCTCTCTACTTTGGAATCAGCCGCACCTACACCTGCCAATCCTGAGACCTCAGACCCCTTTGAGGCCTTGAGCTTCTAATGTCCTGCAATGGAGATGATATTTCTTCTAGCCCGGACCTGTGTGAAGACGACGTCCTGCGGGGACAAGGCAGCAGCCGAGGCAATGTTGATGGCCTCCTCTCCGTGCGTAGTCAAGTAGAAACTGAACCTTCCCTGCCGTTGGGCTTCGTAGAATATGGCGTCCATGGTTTGGAGATTGACCATGTTACGGTAGATTTTGGTAGCCAGTTCTGCGTCCATCTGTTGCAGGCTCACACAGACACACAGAGAGAGATGGCGTCAGCTTTGCGGAAGGAAAGATAGAGAAGTCAGTGCATCCTCCTCGTTTCACGAGTAGATTGAAGAATTGCATAAACATTGCATGGAGAGGGAAGACATTCAATTTAGTGCTGCTTATGGCTGTAACTTGACCAAGTATTTATGAAGCTCAAATAATTCCAGACGCTGCGTGAGCTATCCAGTCTGAGAAAAATTGAGATTCATACCAGCATCATCTGCCATAGCAATCGATAGTTTCCTGAATTTAGAGTATCAAAAGTAGGCTCGGAAAAGGATTGACTACCTGTGGAAGTTTAGCCCATGGAAGGGGCTGGCCGAAGTCATTGAGCAGACGGAAGCAAGGAACGGGCTCGGCAGCGGTTTCGGGAATGAAAGTCATTTCATGCGTGAAGTTCGTCTTCGCCCCAGGGTAATCCAGAATCTGTAGACAAAGACAGAATGGATTACGTACGACGACCTCAAAGTACCATCTCGATCCTTTCCACAAAGACAAGCAGCAGAAACGTCGAACAATTCACAGACTGCCCCGCTCGGACTTTGGTTATGTTCTGACTTGATTCTGATCGACGTAATTTAGGCGAAATTCTTAAAGTAGCTCCCCACTCTCCTTTCGCAGGTTCAGATTGGAGTGGAAAGAACAGACGAGCAATATCAAATTCACAGCGCTTCGAAGGTCGATATTAGCCAGCGAGAATCGACTGCAGAATCGATTTCTTTGCTGAAACTGAAATATAAGAATTTGAGGAGGGGATAACTGCGAGCTCTACCTCGTGGTCCTCATCGTCGGAGAAAGCTTTCTCGGGTTCTCCACTCAACCGTCGTGCTGCCGGTGGTGTCTTGGACCAATTCTTGCTGAGCTCTGTATCCGCCGTTCGGTTCGTCGCAGAGCCATAAGACCGAGCTGGAACGCCGCAGGATCCTCGCGCTGGCAGCGCTGCGGCACCGGAGCATTCAGCGTCCAAAATTCGAGCACATGGTCGAGTTTCGGATATCGAATTGGATAGCGTGCGCCGTAGAAGAGGGGTCGAGCTTTTCGCCAGCACGCGCAGTCCTCGCGTCGCCATGGGCCTAAGAGATTCGTAAGGTAACCACCTCCGGATAGAAGAGAATTTTTCTCACCGTCCCCCAGAACTGATAAAACTGCCAGTGGCGTTCCACGAAGCTTTTCGCCAAATTCGGAACTTACATCTCACAATCTGCGCGGAGAGCAGAGCCTTTGGACTTGGGTCCACTCTCCACAGCCATATCTCATACGCCTACGTCCACGTCCGGAAGCAATTCGAGCGCAATCGATCAGTTCCCGCACAATTTAACAAATCTACACGGACCAAAAGGGCTCAAGAACGAGAGAAGCAGAAACGATCGACGAAGGTATACTGCAGATATCAGTCTAATGGGACGAACTGTATTCTACGATTTTCTCATGTGTCCAATCGTCAAAACATGCAGATTCTCCCGTCAAAAACAATGATTGACATCAGCGGGCCCTCCTGTAGAATTTGCTGCAACCAGGAGCCTCAAATTCTCAAGCCTCCATACCCCCAGCAGCTACACTCAAGACAAATTATAGCCCGGAAGCCGCACACTCTACGAGAAAAGAGAAGAGAGAGAGAAGTGACGAGACGAGAAGACGACGAATGAACAACAGAGATGTAAAATTCCCTTCTGGACCGATTTCTGCGCGTCTTATGAGAAAGCTTCTTCCGAAATCTGCTGCTGGGCGGATCTCTGTGAAGGCGGTTTCGCTCGAGCCCGTACTGGAGACCGAAACCGGACAAGATGGGTCCACTGTCCACAACAGATCCCCGTGTCATAGACGAAATATTCCGGTGTCATTTCTCTTAACCTCCATGTCCACCACCATCGCTGCGGTTACCACTCCACGTCATATTTGTTACCCCAACGTCGTCCACTCTCATCAGTCATCACGTTGACTCCGTCAGTCGTTTTCCGATAACTCCAGAGTTTCTGAGTTTCACAAAAATCTGGACGCCAGTGAATCCCATCTGCGAGAGAGGTTGAAGACCTCGACGCCTGAGTACGTGCTCCAATACGGATACGATACGACTGTGGTAGGGCAACTGATTTTCTCAAAAGCCAGAAAGCGGGCAGCAAAATTGACTGCATCCGAGTCGGCCGTCAGAGAGAGATCGTGCGTCTCTACGTTGTGGTAAACCTGACCCGCCGCAATAACACAGCAATCGAATCACCCTTTCATGCGAGACCCTCCTCTCTCATGCGATACAAAGCTGCATACGCCAGTCAGTATCTGACCAGAATACAGTCTCGACGAGCTGAATTTAGATCAACTGTAAAAAATTTGTTCCTTTATGCGACGCCCTTCATCACGTGAACCCACGGTCCAACCTTAAAGAATGTAAAGTGAAGGGTCGGAGGTGAAAGAAATAGGCTGCGCCGGGAAAAATCCAAATAATGGAAGAAAAGTGCTGCGAATTCCTGGCGCAAAAATCATAGCGACTATACCACTGTATCCGTCAATCATCGTTTGTATGCAGAGTACCGTACATTATCTACACCTGATGCCCGGCATGGTTAAAATTGTACAGGGCACGACGTGATAGTCCACGAAGTACTGTTGACGGAGAACTGAGGGAGAACTGATGGAAAGCTGTTGGCTTGCTGACGGAGCTCCTTTCAGTTGGTGGCATGTGGGTTACCCAGGAACCATGTTCTTCGTGGTTGAGGTGGGAAAAGAGACATGGTGGCACGCAAGGGACACGAGTCTACAACAGAGCTACAACAGAGCCGCTACCGACCGCGAGTCGTTTCAGATGTCCTGCTGCTTGTGGACCCGAATTTTCGACCGGTCCAGAACCCTTCCAGAAACTCTACGTGTTGCAAGGACTAGCACTCCGTCAGCTGCATTTTTCTGTTCGAGATTCGCATTCAGACAGAGGCCCTGAGCAGGTTCCCTCCAGGCCAAGACTTGCGCGATACACAAGTCGGATCCGGGAGAATACAAGCTATATTTGACGGAGTAGGTTTAATTCCCCTAGATTACAGGTTCGCTTTTGCCTTCGCTGGATTGTAGGCTGAGGTTTGCCCGGGGTAGCCAAACCGCACGGGATTGCACGTCTGACTCGTCTAGACGCTCTGAACTCAATCCTACAGAAGTCCTGCTGGTCAAAATACAAGCGAGTACACCAGTGATAAATTGTACATGTGTGTTGTAGGGAAAGATGCCTTCCTGCTCACTGTCAATGGATCATTCTCCCAGAGGATGACATTTGCTTGTACCAGAGCCATGGTCTCTCTCTTGGATGGTCAATAGGAGGACAATAAGCGGCAGGAATTGACGTAATTCCACATCACTGCCTTATAGACATACTCTAAAAACCAATCATAATTGTTATACTCTGCTGCGAGGATAATATGTGAACCCGAACGCACAGGGTGCTTCGTTGGACACGGTACAGAGCGAATCCTGCCTCAGATAAAGTATTGCACCATCTGGCGCAAAGGATGGTCCCCATACTGCACATGCCGGGCTTTAATTTTGTCTCTCCCCCCGTTGGCCGAATACTCTCAGCGCAGGGTGGTGTCGTTCTTATACACGCGTGCAAGTTTGTGGTATAAGGCTGTGTAAGAGGCAACCTTTACACGGCAAATGTCATCTGATTTTGGCCTTGCCAAAATTACGGGATGTTACCTTACCGTCCAACTCTAGCGGTTGAGCACATTCTCTTTACACACGACTGGCTAAAGTCAATCTAGCATGAAAAGTACCGAGACTAGTCTATAATTGATATCTACGAGGTATTTGGTCATAGGACTAGCGTTTTGGTATTTCGTGCCAGTCTGATATAGAATGAAGTGAAAATCAGTCCAAAATGACAAATGTAGCATTCGGCAGAGGAAATTTGCAACTGTTGACTTTGGATTTACTATCGGTCTTAATGTCCCTTAAATAAAAGCCTATTTCGTCGAGGTCGCCTTTTAGTTGGCGAAGGGCAATATTATCTTCATTGGATTGAAAGCATGGTACTATCGTACATATCTTCAATCTCTAAACGTTCCATGCTTGGTTCTCTGCTTTATTTAAGGAACAAATCTTCTCAAAGTGCACCGCTTGGTGTATGGCATCTTGATACTTCAGGTGGAGGTTCAGTTGACATGTTCTATCGCACCTCTGTAAAGCCTGTCTGAGGCTGAAAGTCGAGGAAAAGATCACGTTCGCATTGAAGAGGAATAGAATCAAGAGACAAATCCTCAAGGTAAGGTGAAAATGTTTATCTGCACCACTTGCGATCTACAATACTGGGACTTCAGCGTTCCGACCTTTTCCACGTTCTCTCGTCAATGGGTGGGACACAACAGTCCTCTCGAGACAGGCGCCGCTCCGGGCACGGGTTCTATTGATTCTGAATATAAGTACTAGCTAGTGGCTACGCCTATGCCTTCGGAATTGCAACTTTATTCCAACAATTCTCTGCGTAACGTATCCTAAAAGGTCTGTCACCGGTGCGCTAATTAAAATATTCATCCAGTTTTCCACCGCACAGTTTGTTCGATCGGTCGTTATGGTTATTCTTCGAGACATGGACTGCGCTTTTCGAGCTGCTGACTCTAAACTTTTTTGTCACACTTGTTCTCAGGGGGTTCATGTGCTCGTCCCACCGATTGTGTGTTCTAATGGCATTTCTTGCACTCAGCAATAATAAAATATTTATACATTTGTTTGTACACGCCAAGCTATTGGGCCTAATATCCCAGATGTTCCATGGACAATCTCTGGCCCAAGGGCTGTATGTATGGGTCCTGACTGGGCCCTGAACCACAGCTCGTCAGTTTTGATCTATCAATTCTATCTTAGAGCAATTGCAGAAGTCTCGTCAGTTCATTGCACTATAACTCTTTCTACTGTTGTATAGTTTAGGATAGATTTTAAGTGCTGTAGGATATATTTCCCATTGTGATATTCCTCATCCACTATTGTATCGCTCATGACATCCTCCCATCCTTTTTGCTCTCGACTTGGCCCGTTTATTTTAGTGCACCACAGTATGGGCATGATCGGATCGTTGTATCTTCTTCTCTCGTCCATAATGACCGACCTCCTTTCCAGAGCGACTGTATCGCTAAATTTATCGCCGTCGAGCTTCCTGATTAGGGAGTTGGTTTGTCCTGTACGGGAGACATTCGGGTCGTTGCTCCTCGCACAAGGGCTCCCCTCGAAAGCTTCGGCTGTCGATGCTGACGTCGAAGCGGTAGTCGAATGCGTGCCTGCTCGCTGGATCGGACGACTACGTGGCAGTGTACATGTTGGGCCTACTCACGTAACCTGTCTGAGCCGGTTTGACTGGATGTTGACGAGCTCCGACGTGGTGCTGACGTGTTCTTGCGTCTCCTTCACGTCCACGTTTCACTAGCGCAACCGATTCAATCATTCCAGGAATTCCTGCGTTCCGCTATGGAGTGAACGAGGTGGAGTAAGACAAACAACTCCGCCCTCAGGAATCCTGGTCCGAACACTTCGTACAAGGCCTTGACTCAGCCATGACGATGCTCCATGCATTGCGGATAGCTCCCCCCGATTGTGGCCACCGCCATCGGGGTAACCGCTTGCGTCCGGCCGTCCCATGCATTTGGGTAGCGCTAAACAACATCTTCGTGTTTTTTGGATTGTTCCCATCTTGGTCAGTCATATTCAGCTTGTGTTCAGCTGTCTTCGAAACAACTACCTTCGGTTCATAATCCTTTAACCTCCCCGATAAAAGGGAAACAAAGCAGAAGAAATGATGTGTCCGTTTCGAATTTGACCTCTTCATTGTTGGATTTGGAAACCTCTCCGCAGAGGTCAAGTTATGCCCGTCAATCCTCATTCGTACGCAATTCATCGACCGCAGGGTGCAGTTCAAGTCCATCTCTACAGCGAGAATTGGCTCTTGGCGTATATTTCAATCGTACCTAAATTCTCGGGATTGAGGAGCTAATTGTGACTAAAACATTTAAATTTTCTCGTCTGGGGAATCAGAATGCGTTAAAACAGAGACTGTCTGCATGATCTAGCGATGCTGCTAACTGGAAAGTTCAAATGACTGTCTGATGACAGACGACGCGTAAGTATATGGCATCTAGGTACATTCGAATCAACTTCAGAGAATCGATGAGGGCTATCATGATGAAGTCATACAGACATCACATGACGAGCTTTAGTCCGATTACTGGAGTGCATGGGATATCACCCCGGGATTTTGAAACGCTAACGAGTTACAAATTCGGTTTGTTGTGGTTGCCCACTTACAAGTCCGGGAACTTCTGGCATGCTCTTGACCATGGGCAGTGAGACACTTTGCCGTAATGTAAGGCTTATGTCTCACGAATGATTATTTGATGGGGCCCAAGTGTAGAAGAGCTCGCTCTCCTCAGTAAGACGTGTCAGATTTCTGTGCCGCTTCCGTTCCAGCGGCCCAGGTATATCCCAGATCAGCATGTTGGGATCCACATGGGCTGCATCCTCAGCACGCGTTTCTGATGCTGAGACACGTCAGATTTGTGTGCTTCCATCTGGGGTCCAACTGCCCACCATGACTTGTCACATTCGTAGATCAAGCAAGCACGTTGGAGCAATTTGTACCTGCTCTATACATAAATACTCGTAAGAAGTCTCACGTGGTTGTAAAGAACGTATAATATATGGAAGGATCCCAGCCAAAAGCATAATCTAAGAAAAAGGGCATAAAGAACAGATGCCCTACATGGTAGACCTGGATCTCTCTATCATATCGCTCTTC